CCCTGTTTGGTTGTCGGAAGATTAGACCAAATTCTAGGAAATAGATGTTCAGAATTTATACCAATGGAATCCGTCGTAGCTGTGTGGGAGAATTAAGGTTTGGAAGGCTGATTTCCCAAACTTCCCGTTCCCCTGTTATGTTATTAAACTGTTACATATGTTGTGACATTCTCACGCATACGTAATATTTTTCTTTTTTACCATGCATGAATAAGGCTAATGTCCGATATGGACGTTTGACCTTGATACGTTTGACCTTGATTTTGAGACTGGACTTTAAATTTGTTTTGAATAACCTGATGCAATCACTTATAGTGAATTTATACCCAAAAGAAAAGGGAGATATAAGGGGGTTATGATTCCCTTGTATTTTTCACATTTCTCGCATTATCTGAAAGAAAGTGAGAGATTACAGAATTTGTAATTAATCAAAATAAGATCTTGCTTGGGACCATATGTTCCAAGGCAAAAAGTAAGGACGACAAAAAAGAAAATAAATAAGAAAAATTCCGCCTGGAAATCCTTTCATTCCAAGGCAAAAGTTAGGGACTTGAGAGAAAATAGTCGATCGTAAATTCCAAAAAGGAACGATCGACGACAGATAATGCCAGAAATGTTTGGATACAAAATAAGTCATTACCGTGTTATTCATACCGAATTTTGGGTCCAGTCGTTGAAATCGAGATTTTATTTCCATGCCGATCGTTAGCACATTAGAACTGCATTCCTCATCCTATGTATGGCATTCCTCATCCTATGTGCTTCCATTTTCTCATGCATACATGCAGGACCTACTTTAACTCAGAGGTTTCTATCTATCAGTCAGAATTGATCCTTCCCGGGAAATCACCTCGAGAGATTGGCAATGACACCCTGGTCAACGTCTGGTCAGAGTATCCCCAATCCCCGAGCTTGCTCCGTTTAGTTCTGTGATTCATTCAAGTTCATCGGATTCAGTTTCTGATTCAGATTCGTCTGAGATGGCTGACGACATTGTGAATGAGACCGGGTTTTCTCCAGCCTAGATCAAGACCATTTCTGAAATAATAGCTGCTGCCCTTGCTCAAGATAGAGCCCAGAATCAAGTGCCACCCACTTCTAGCAACCAGCCTGTGGTTGAAGAAAGGGAAATCCCAGAGCCCACTTCAGATAATCGGGCCTCTACTGATAATACTGTCCCAGCAGAAAATGATCTAATCAAGCAACTTGTTGAGCTGAAAGACAAAGTTGAGAAAATGTCTGTTGCAAAGGAAAAGGACCCGGTCACTAACTTCCATGTAACGGAATATGTCCTGCACCCTTCGAGTTCCACTTCCTTTAAGACTTTGAAGCATACTGTGTTTGAGGGAGATAATGATCCACGGTCCCATCTGTCGGTCCCATCTGTCTGAATTCCTCTGGGTTTCTCAAATGAACCGATACAATGAGGAGGATGTCTTACGGGCATTCCCACAAACACTGCATAAGAGTTACCGGAGGTGGTATGACGGCCTAGATATGGAGACACAGAGGAATTGGGTCAAGCTGCAGACCGCTTTTCTTAAGCATTTTAAGACTGATGACAGTGAGGAATTCGGCTTGCGTGATTTGGAGAGTCTGAAACAGGAAAAAGATGAAACTTTCTCAGACTATTATAGGAGGTGGAGAACCATGCTATTCATGGTCCAGACAAGGCCGAAGGACCAAGAACACCAAGAACTGATCAGAAATTTTCTGTAGAAGCTTTGTTACTTTTCTTCAAAATGTTACCTTTCTTCAAAGAGAGAATGTTGGCCCAACCTCTCACTGATTTTGCTCTAGTTCAAAGGGCTGGTTTGAACATAGAAGAGCTGTACAAGGATGAGACGAAGAAGAATCGAGGGTTTGGTAACTATCAGACCTCCTACAATGACAAAACTACCGGAAGCAGCAACCCGAACCAGTCAGGAAATAGTAACAAGGTGGGAACTGTCAATGAAAAAGTGAGAAGAGAATTCACCGATCTGGGCAGACCTTTGAGTACGGTCATGAGATCCTGCATTAAGAATGGAGTGCTTTCCAAGCTGGTCATGAGATCCTGCATTAAGAATGGAGTGCTTTCCAAGCTGCCAGTTAATCCAGCTAAACCTATTCGGGGTAGGTATATGGATCGGAACTGTGACTACCATCAGTGCAAGGGGCACTCTACTGATGAGTGTTTCAAGCTAAGGCACGAAATTCAAGATATGATAGATAGCGAAAAAATTACCAAGCCTTCGGAGAGGAACAAGCCAAGCACGAAGAACAACCCGTTGCCCCAATACCAGTACAATTATCCACCCCACCAGTCTCAGTCGGGTGGATCAGTTAATGCAATCGAGAGTGGTCTACCGGAAGAACTGGTATTGGCGGAAGCAGAGTGGGAAGAAAGAATGTGTGCCACACTGAACATATGGGACGATTGCAGCAGCGAGGAGGATGATGAGAAGAGGCCCGTGAAAATAGAGATTGAAAAGAGCATTACAGTAAAGGTGAGTGAAGTACCAGAGAGTGAAGACGAGCAAATTTAGCTCGCAATCCAGAAAAGTTTGGCCGATCAGGAAGAGCAGTGGTACTATAGTAGTGAGGAGGATGTGAATGAAGTGGACATCCAGAGCTTAACCCGTAGTGGTCGAGTGTATAATCCCGATAGCAGTGCTCAGTCTAAGGGGAAGGGAGTTGCCACTGATGGAATGGGAAAGAAGACAACAGACAAGGGTGAAGAACAACCCAAAGAAAAGAAGAAGGAAGAGGAAGCAGGAAAATTGCAAAAGAAGACTACTGAAATGGGCGAGAGTAGTCAAAATAAAACACCTAGCGGCTTAACAGTGAATTCAGTACTGAGCCAGTTGCAGAGAACAAAGGCTGATATTTCATTATGGGATTTACTAATAGCCTCCAAGGAGCATAGGGAGTCTTTGTTAGAAGCGATGCATTTGTTAGAGTGCCTGCCCGGATCCAGAGTGTAGACATGATCAATGTATTGCAGCGCAGAATCAGTGAGATCACATTCTTCATTTCTGACCTTCCTCCGGAAGGAAGGCATCACTACAAGCCTTTATATATTCAGATTGCTGTCAACGGGCGTGAAACTCGCAATGTAATGGTGGACAACGAATCAGCTTTGTGTGTGTGCCCATTGAAGATGCTATCCAAGTTCAAAATTGAGGAGTCAGAACTTGAACCATCTAACATGGTGGTCAAAGCTTATGACATGGTCCAAAGCTTTATGACATACATGCGCAATTTGCAAAAGGAACTTTCAGAGCGAAGGATTCTCGACGGGGGCTCATAGAGAGTTGGGTGGATGTTAGTCGTCCTGGATATTGGTGGATGTAGTCGTCCTGGATATTTTGGCTAACTATGCTCTACTATTGGGAAGACCATGGCTCCATCCTCTAGGTGCAATCCCTTCCACCTTGCATAGAAAGGTTAAGGTTCCTTGGGGGACTGATGTGATAACCATCAATGCTCAAGAGGACTTGAATATAGCAGCTGTAGAAGGTCTTGAGTTGACTGTCCCTTTGTCTGTTTTCCAAGTGGCTGTGATTGATGTGCCAATTAATGAAAGTAAAAGCGCAGTAAACAGGATGAGCCCTTTTTCTAGAAAAATGATGAAAAGATGCAGTGGCAATATGGCAAAGGGCTAGGTTGAGAGCTGCAAGGAGGGTTTGAACCTGTATCCTCTGCACATGGACAGCAAGACCGACGGGGGCTGGGATATTCAGAGAGCAGAAAGAAGGAGAAATATGAGGTCCGGTCTCCGGTAAGAGAGCCAAATCTGAATCAGATCTTCTTTGTCCCAGAAGCTTCAGGGGAATTTCAGAGTAGAGTAAAGACCTATCCTGGCCTGAAGATCTTCATGACAGACTTTGATGAGCAGTTGATCAAGTCTCCTGAACCTTCCTTCGAGCAATTGATTGAAGGCACACAATTCATGGTGAGTATGGTTCAAGCGGGCAGTGGCACGGACTGGCCACAGAAGATATCAGAATTTGAAGATTTCTTGGGGATTGGGGATGAAGCTTCCAGAATGGTGCAAGAGCAGAAAGCTAAGGCAAGGATCCTCCAGTCAGTGCTAGCAGCCGAAGATGGTGCTAGCCAGCCGAAGATGCCTGAAGAAGCCAGAGGGAAGTGATGAAGATGGCAAAGCTCTGAAGAGGAGAAAGCAAAAGCTACCCCGGGAAGCAGAGGAAGCACCTAGATGCTGATGAGAGTAATCCAACAATTTAAAGAACAGTTGTGATGAATTATCGAACAGGCTATTAACCTGTTCTTTTGTTTTTGATTATTGTTTCGAAGAACCAATTTAGATTGGTTGTCCTTTAATTATTTCAATTCAATGGAAGTAAATTTGAACTATTTGTTTTCTTATTTTCCCGATTGTCATGTTCATGGCATTATTATACCACGCACATATTGACATTAAATGCATTGCATCACATTTTGCATTTAACCTAAGCACCACCGAAGATCCTAAAATAATCAAAATCGGATTGGACTTTAAGCCTGAACTTAGACAGGATCTTTAAGAATGTATCAGGAGAAATTCAGAGGTATTCGCTTGGAGCTATGCTGACATGCCAGGAATCGACAGATCAATCACAGAACACTTCATTCCTATTGACCCAAACATTAAGCCAGTGAAGCAGAAGAGGAGACGGGTCAAACCAGAGTGGCAGGATAAAATCAAGGCCGAGGTCCAGAAACAGTTGGATGCAGGATTCTTAGAAGCGGTATACTATCCGGAATGGCTAGCAAATATAGTCCCTGTGCTGAAGAAAGATGGGAGGATAAGAGTTTGTGTTGATTATAGGGACCTAAACAAAGCCTCGCCTAACAATAGCCTCGCCTAAAGATTGACTTTCACTTCGCGACATAGATGTTTTGATTACAGTGCTACTGGAATGGGATGTTATTCTATCATGGATGGATTTTCCAGGGGATTACAACCAAATATTCAATGGCCTTAGTTGACCAAGCACCAAAGACTGCCTTCAACCATGGATTTGGGAACTTTCTGGCTTACTAGGGTTGATGCGCATTTGGATGAAGAATGCCGGCTTGCAACATATCACGAGGATAGGCGTCTACAACAATTATTTCATGATTATGAATCCATTAAAGGACTGGAAGTCTATGTTGGGATGTATTGGTTGATCCATGACAAGAAAACAACAAGAAAGAGCAACGCAGAGATGCTAGAAAAGTTCTGTTTGCCACAGCGTTAAACCAATACAAACTTAAGACTCAATCCCAAAAAAGTGTGTATTCGGAGTAACAAAAGGGAAACTGTTAGGTTTTGTTGTAGGACCTAACGGGATTGAGGTTGACCCCAACAAAATAAAAGCCATTCAAGATATGGGACCGCCAAGAACTAAACATCAGGTGAGAAGCTTCTTGGGAAAAATTCAGTACATCAACAGGTTTATTTCCAGGCTATCCATCACTTGTGCTCCGATCTTCAAGCTACTCAAGAAGAATCAACTAGTTAAATGGAATGAGGACTGCCAGAAAGCCTTTGATCACATAAAGAGGTATTTGATGAATCCACCGGTGCTGAGTTCGCCTAAACCAGGAGAGCCTCTGACCTTGTATTTGTCTATAGAGGATGCCGGAGTGGGAGCCATGTTGGCACAGCCGGACGCTGCTGGAGTAGAAAAGGCTATCTATTACATCAGTAAGAAACTACTGCCTATCGAGGAGAAGTACACCTATCGAGGAGAAGTACAATTTGGTGGAGAAAACGTTGCTATGCAGTGGTATTGGTCGATACAAGAAATTGAGGCCTTACTTTGATTCCTTCAGGTCACTTTCGTTTCCAAATTGATCCTTGGAGATATTTCGGGGAGAACACCTACTCTTAGAAGGGCGTCTGTCCAAATGGGGCTAATTCAGGAATGGCTAATTCAGATGTCTAGTGTGGATGCAGAGTTTGTCACGAGGAAAACGGTCAAAGGTCGGGTTGTGGCAGAGTTCCTGGCAGAGAATCCCGTTGTAGGTGATGAATCATAGGAATTGGAGTTTCCAGATGAACACTTATTGTGTGTTGAAACAGGGGCTTGGAAATTGTATTGATGGATCAGCCAATAGAAGCGGAGCCGAAGCTAGTATTGTGATAGAAGCACCTAATGGCGAGGTCATAATGATGTGCAAAAGATTATTGTTTCCGGTCACCAACAACATGGCTGAATATGAAGCATGCATCATGGGAATGGAAGCTCTTCTTGCATTCGGTGCCAAGGAAGTCGAGGTGATAGGTGATTCGCTGTTGGTCATCGAACACGCTAACGAGAGATGGAAAGTAGAAGAAGAAAGGTTGAAGCCCTATGTTGAGTACTTATTGAAGAAGGCAACACTCTTTGATAAGATCACCTTCACTCACATAGGAAGAACCTATAACATAGAAGAACCTTATAACAAAATTCCGAACGCCTTGGCAAACTTAGCACTCAGTTGCAGATTTAAGTAAAGTTCCAAAGAAGCCCCATTGTATCATTATTGCAGCAAATATCCCGTGCTATGTAAGAACATTTTGTGAATCAGGTTGGAGTCGGGAGGAAGAACCCTTGGTTTACGGATTATCCTGCGTATATCCTGCGGTATATGAAAGACGGAACCTTTTCTAATGATGCGACAAAAGAAGACCGTTCAGTTTTCAGAAAAATGGCTTTGAATTATGTCCTGGTTGATGGTGAACTTTATAGAAGAGCTTGGGATGGGATGCTGCTAAGATGCGTAGATAAGGAGGGAGAAGACATAATGAAGAAAATTCATGAGGGAGTCTGCGGTACCCATTTGAGCGGCATTAGCTTAGCCAGAAAAATCATGAGGCAGGGCTATTTTTGGACACAGATGGAAGGTGACTGTGTTAATTATGTACGTCACAGTAAAACTTGCCAGCACCATGATAATAAAAGGCATTTGCCTGCTGTTGAACTTCATCGACAGTTCCTTCTTAGCCTTTCTCTGCATGGGGTATAGATATCATTGGCAAGATCACACCAGCGGCATCGAATGGTCATCAGTACATCTTGGTTGCAGTAGATTACTTTTCTAGATGGATCGAGGCTCAATCCTATAAAACTTTGACCGCCAAACATGTGGCTAGATTCATTGAACAAAACATTTGAAATCATATAACATTTTCTGTGCGCTATGGTGTTTCCCCCATCACATAGTTTACATTTAGACAATTGGTTCTCGTTTCAACAAATGTTGGTTTTTCAGTTGCTCATATTTATCGTTAGATTTAATTAAGGTTGGAGGCACCAAATTCGTATTCGTTCCCTTACGGCCCTCCAAGCTTAATGGTGTAGTAGTAAGCGCGGCGAAATAGGAGCCATTAAAAGAATCATTATCCAAGATTTGGTGCCAAAAGTATAGAAAGGAGCTGGCTTGATAGAAACTTCCTTTCGCGCTTTGGGGGCTTCGCACATACTTCCTCAATCAGTAAAGCTTGGAGCCTTATCCCTTTGAACCTTTGTTAATATGGGATGGAAGCAGTGTGTACCTGTTGTAAGAGCTCGAAAAGAATGTCTCTCAAGAGTCTTTGTAAAGAGAGCTGGTACTGGACCGAATGTTAAGAATTGGTCAGAAATAAGGTGATGGAAGAATCCTGTTGCGCTTTTAGAATGGAAGACAGACCTTGAACGCCGGGCTTCGGATGGCTTTCAGGATCAGTGAGAAAGAGAAGGATGTGCTCTTTCTACAACAAAACGGGTACATCCAAGGTTGAAAAACAATAGGGAGTTTAGTATTGATCAGTAGTTTGTTGGAGTTCACGAATGCCAGAATCGTCCTGTGTGGGAAATTTAAAACCCAACTGGCTGGACGCTGTTCAGACAATCCAGAAGCTATTTAGCTAAAAGGTGTGCTGAAGTTAATTCACATGGAAGGGAGGCCTTAATCAACGGGATTGTAAAATCAAGGATGCAAAATATTTAAACCCAACTGGCATGGACCATTCAGAATCCAGAAGCTATTAGCTAAAGGTGCTGCTGAATTAATCACCATGGAAGGGAGGCCTATCAATCGGATTGTAAATCAGGACCAAATGAAAAGATTCTATGTCTGAAATGATGATTTCGATTAAGAAAAAAAATAAAAAAAGAGAGCTAAGTTGAAAACCCGAAAGGGTGGCTTAGGCAAGAAATGAGCTCGCTAGGTTAAAAACCTGAAAGGGCGGCCTAGGCAAAAGTTAGAGCATAAAAAATAATAAATGATGATAAAATTTTTTTTTGGGATTAACGCGTGGTGCTTAGTTTAAATGCGAAATCTATGCCATGCATTCGTGACAGATTTGTGATTGGTTGCTTAATGACATCAACTTGACCAGAAGGAGAATTAGGTAAATGAGTAGTTAGAATGAATGATCACTGTATTAAAATAAGTTTTCTTTACTTTTGTATAATGTTGAAAAGAAGTAAGACTAATAAAGGGTTTCAATTTCAAACATTTTTCTTCCTTTTGTTTCGGGGATATGGTTAAAGAATGCAAGACCTTCCTCTCTGCTTATCTACTCATCTGACCAAGATTGATTCATCTATTTTGAAAACGTTCTGGTTGTTGGTCCTGCCTAAGTGATGAATTCTTTTAAAGCATCGATCAGGAGAACGAATACCATTTTCTCAGTTATTTCCTTGGAAGGATCAAATCAAAAAATAAATAAATAAATAAATAAATACCATGGATAAAACCTTAGTACTCAGTAGGTTCATGCATACATAAAGAAGTTACATATGCTGTTTTTGTTTGATCTTTGCAGGCAATAAAATACTCACCCCTTCTTTTTATTTTCCAAATGTAAGCTTCTGTCTTTAAATAATAATTCATTTTTATGAGCTTTTATTTATTGACCCAGGGGGCAGTGGGCCCAAATAACTAACAAACAAATAATTTCGAAGGAAAAGATTTGTTGTCCTTTGTTGTCCATATGTGCAGAAAACAGGGATTAATAAAGGCAGAACCATCGGAGTCATTAATTGAAAGAAAAGAGACACATTAACTAGGAGCTCATGGCCCGGGAATACAAGGAACTAAGAAAAAAAGAGAAGAAGCAACGACAACATTTATTCCAGTAGGGTCTATCATCAGACGCCATTCTTTGCAGAACATGGCATCATCATGGGGTAAAAAACCAGTTCACATACTCGGGTGTAAAACCAGTTCACATACTCGGGTGTCACAGTGTCCTGCATCACTCCTTGACCCAGGTACCTGGTGTTTCGGTTTCGCCAACGGTCCACTAAACTAGTCAACAGGCGCTGCATCATGAGACCACTTTCAAAGTTATGGATCCTAGGAACGCGCTGTATCATTTCGTACTGACGGTTGATCCTGTCTGGGAAATAGGCCATGGAACGGTCCAGACTGGCGTATAACACGTAATTAAGGTTCATGCTTCCAGTAGTAACCAGTCTAATCCTCCACTAGGGACAAGTCCACCGAATTGTCGGGTTATCCCCAAATCGAAGTGTCCTCGAGACCAAGACCGAAAGTTGGCAGGGCCATAGGTTGGAATCAAACGAGGTGGGACCGGAAGAATCAGGCTTAACTTGTCTAGAGCCCAGGCTTGCAGTAACATTGGACAACCACGATGGACAACCACGATGGTGAACATTAAAGTTGGTGATGTGAAGGGCAATATCCCTAACCCAACACATCGTCTCCCCCATGATCATCATAAAGACAATACGATGATGCAGTTTCATGTCACGAACAACTGTCAAATGTCAAAAATCTCCAATTCCAGGTTGGCGGTTCTTCATGGCATACACATTCAATATCAAGAAACAATAAGCTCGAATCCAATAGGGACCTATATCCATGGACAGAACCCTACTCAGAAAAGGCTCTAAAGGAAGACCTTAATCCGTGTTTACGCCGTCAGGAAGGTAAACTGGGCACAGGGCCACGATCTCGGTCAGATCATATCCGGGTCCTGGGGGCAAAGCCGGAGTTTCATCCTGTTCAGGGTGATGATCCATCACGACACACATTTCCTCATAGGTCGGGGTTATTTCAGAGTCTTCAAACCGGAAAACCATGGTGTTGGGGTTGAAGTGTGTAATGAACCAAGACAAGAAACTATGGTCGGGTTTTAAGTCCTTGAAATATTTCAGCTAGGCGAGTTGATTCATAGGGGGAATCTTCCATAGGTCATCAGGAATGGATTGGACAAAGGATGAAACTTGGTTTCTAAAAGCCATGGAAAAGGATTACCTAAGAAACAGATTAAAGGATTACCTAAGAAACAGATTTGTTTTGAGTGCTGGAAGTGAAGAAGATGTAAAAGGAAGTCTTCATTTATAGAAGTGTAAAGGATCTAGTGAACGAAGCACCATCATTATTTGACCTGGTATTTACTGTCAATGGTGGTTGGATGAGCATTTATACATAGATCGCTTTGGTAGTTGGACATTTAAGCCTGCATTAATAAGAAGGACAGTTTGTACAATAAGGATGGTTGAGCCATTACGTCCACATTAACCAAGTGGACCGCCCTGTCAGGTAAGTACTACGATCCACTTCTGTGTCTGATTGATTTTTGTCGTATTTCATTTTAAGTTCCTTATTTTGTTTTTTTATTTCATTTCATTCCATTTATTCATTTACAATAAATTGGTTCCCTGATTACTAATGAGGTGGACCGCTCTTATAAATAAGTGGGACACCGCTATTTTGCGTTTTAGTGTTTATATTTTGCTTTTGCAGGGATAAAGATTTCACAAGTTGTAAGAAACAAACATGTAAATGATACTGTAATAAAAGCAAAAATACTGTAAAAAGTGTGAATAATGTTATAAAATTAATAAAACTGTACATGTAATCCTACAAACCACAAAAAGTTCCAAAAATGGTCAAAACACAGGAGACTGGCTACCGACACCTCCGGCTGGGACCAGCAGCTGCCTGAGGGGGTGGAGATGGCGGTGCATCATTGGATGAGGAACCATCATCATCCTCCTCGGAGAAGTCTAGCGGAATCCCCTCCACATCCCCTCCACCTCTAAAGCCTCGTCCGAAGTCGATCCACCTCCAGCTGGAGTCGGGTAACGGCACTGGACTGGCGAGACTGGTGCCTCCGCAACCTCCCAATCTCCAGATCCTGTAAAGGCAAAAATATGTAAGAAGAGTATACAAAGAAAAAGAAGAAAAAGGTAAAGAGATTCATACCCTCTCGTGACGCTTAGAATAGAGCTGGGCAATGTAGGACCGGACGAACCCAAACCTCCGGCATAGCTCCTGGTACCTCTGAGCAGGCACCTGCAAACACAGAAAGACATTTCATTAAAGAATTATCCAGGTAAAGTATTTTTCTACTTAGTAAATTCAGTTTATTACTCACATTTCTCACATGTGATGGCCATGCTCAGGATCCAGCTGGAGTGGTGGAAGAAAGCCTGCCCTTGAGGTTACCCGGGATGATGATAGTCTGACCCGACAAAACCTAGATCCGTGCCCCTCCATGCTCGAGGGAAATGAGACATCGCCAAGTACAGCTCCCTGCTGGTCACCGGAGCAGCCGCTCCGCGCCTCAGCCTCAGCTCACCTCTGCTCTATAGTAAGGCAGCCGTCCTATTTTCTTCCTCTCTGGCAACGAAGTCAACAGAGGAAGATACTTAATCCCACTGTGCAAACAGTGAAGAAAACGAGGTCATAAGAATTGAAAACGGGTCATAATTGAAAACAAGAGAATCACCTGGGTGTACTCTCGAACCTCTGGCAGCCGGGCCTGCAGTCGAGTGGAGAAGTAGGTAGCATAGTCGCCAGCTGACAACAGGCCATCAACTGGAGAACCCTCATACTCCTCCTCCATATCCTCACGGGTTATGCCCTCCAACAAACACATATGGCGAGGAGGAGCATGGGGCACTCGCCGCTGTGCCGGGGCTGCCTGTATCTCATAGACTCTCTCCCCCAAGAAGTACCGTCAACCCAGTACCCCTGCAGCAGGAGCCTCAACTGAGTATATAGCTCAGCTACCCCACGAGCGGGATAGGTCCTCCAGGCCTCTCCCTCCTAGGGAGCCAGCAGCAGTTGCAAAACAAAAGAATCAGTAGTTGCACAGTGAGAAAGAAAAGGAAAGCTATGTTGAGAAAGAAAAGGAAAGCTATGTTGTTCAGAGGATTCTTGTACTTACATCAGATAAAGCTCTGTCGTTCAGGAAGCACCTCCAGTAGTGGGGATCCTCGAAACTGGAAAAGGTATGATGGCAGTGCGCCGGATACCGAGGAATCCACCGGGAGTCAGCTGGGGTATCGCCACTCGGACCGCCCGAATAGATGCGATATTCGTAGGCCCACACCTGCAGTAAAGATCACAATAAGTTCAGTATACAGTTGAGCGGTAAAGAAAAGATGATAAAAGAAGAGGGTGCAGAGAATAAGAGTCTTACCTCAAGTGGTCGGATGAACTGCCAGTTCGACTCACCACTACCCCGGGTCCATACATTAAGACCGTGATAGAGGTGAGCCAATGCGGGAATGGCCCAGTCATAGGAGCTGACCTGACTCAGATCCCTCAAGCATACTAGCACCACTGGGTCTCCCTTATTCTGGGAGGTGCATAGCAGTTGAGAAGAAATAATGTAGAAGAGGAAGGACCTGGCGGCCTGATCCCTGTCCTCTCGAGTGTAGGTCGGGGCAACAGGCCGAGCATCTACAGGCAGCTCTCTCCACGCAGCCAGCCTCGTATGGATCCGCTCGGCCCAGAAGCGGTATACGACCTCGTATGATACGCATCCCTGCGCAGTGTACTAGGTCTGGGTGGTCACACCGAGTAGAGAGCGGACCAGCTGAGCTCCAAGAGTAGCGGTCTGGTACCGAGCATCCAGAGGAGCGACCGGACCAGCAAACCGGAGATCGGTAATAGCAGCGTAGTCGGCCGGTGTAAGAGTCATCTCCCCGAAACCGAAGACAAAGGTGTGGGTGCAGTTGTTCCACCGCTCCATCAGCGCATAGCGCATGGCGGGTGGAAACCGAGGTTGTGTACGGCAGAGCCCCGCAGCGTAATCGCCGAAGCCAGCAGCAACGACCCCCCGCAGCGTAAATCGCCGAAGCCAGCAGCAACGACCCGAGCGCGCATAAGGAGGCAATCCCAGTAACGCTTGATGCGTCAGCGGAAGATCCGCCGAGCGCGGGCCTTGCCAGATCAAATCCTGTGTAAGAAACTTTCAATTAAATGAAAAATTAAACTCCACAATTATCTATCTTGTTCCATGACAAGGAAAAATAAAAATTCAAGCCTCAGGCCAAACCATACGCTAGCAGTCACGCATCACCTGCACAGCTGCGTCACGCACAATCAGGCTTATTGCCCAAGTTGCGCATCCCTAACCATAGCTGCGTCACGCATCTACACAGCTGCGTCACGCAGCTTGCCCAAGTTGCGCATCCTGAAGAACAGCTGCGTCGCGCACCTCAGCAGCTGTGTCGCGCACCTCAGCAGCTGCGTCACGCACCTCAACAGTTGCGCCACGCAACTGTTCAAAATCTTGCATCCTAAGAACAGATGCGCCACGCATCTCCACAGCTGCGCACGCATCTCAACAGTTGCGCCACGCAACTGTCCAAGGTCTTGCCTCGCTGATGAACAGTCGCGTCACGGAACTGTTCTTCCACAGAACAGTTGCATGACGCAACTGTCGAAGGTATGCAAAAACTAACTTATGTTCAATTTCATTGTGTTTGTGTTGTTTCTATGCATATTCAGGGCAAAATTACATCACATGCGAGATGGCATCAATTATCAATCAACAAATCAAGCATTAAACACATGTAAAGCGGTGAAAACACAAGTTCAGAAGCGCAAGGGTTCGCTGTGCTTCGAACAGTTGCGTCACGCAACTGTTCCTGTAATAACTGTTCACACAGGAACAGTTGCGTCACGCAACTCCTTCCTGCGTGGTGCAACTACCGGCGCACATATAGCCAACAAAATTCAACAAAATTCACATCGCGCAATGGAAAAATGAGAAATTCGGATGAAAAATTACTTACCTCAGTCCGAAAGCCGCGCATCTCGCTTGTCTCGTAGCGAACCGGGAACTCGGTGCCCAGCAAGGGAAGAAGTTGCAGCGGTCGTGTCTCGGGAGTCAGGGGATTCCGGCTGACCGGCACCAGCTCGCCCTCGAAAGTCATGATATCCGGGATCGCCCCAAGGTGTTCATCTCTGGAGTGTAGGCGAAGGCAGGGATTTCAGGAAGTTGAGACATTTTCGAGTTGGAGTTCAGAGTGTTTTTGCAGAAAGTTTAGGGTTGTGAGAAGTGAAAATGAACTGATTAAGAATCCTACTTATAATAAGTGGTGGGCCCATCTAACCTCTTCAAGCCCATCTCATATATCTTCAAGCCTAAAGGAGGGGCCCATCACACTTCTCAAGCCCACAAGGCCTAAACGGCCCATTCAAGCCCATGATGGCCCGCTTAAGCAATTTGACGTCGGTGTGCGGCTCGTAAACTTCAGCAATTTTGCTTACTCACCGCACAGGGGGCAGGAGCATCAAATTGCCCAGATTACCCTCAAGTAAGTTTTCTTTCAAACACTGCATCAGGAAAGGTATGCCTGAAAATTCTCTCAAACTACTGGTAATGCCTGAAGAATTTTCAAGTCTCAAATTTTTAGCTAACTTTTGCACACAACTTTAAATACCAAATTAAAAATAACATTAGGAGAGTCTGCCTAATGGTATGATATTTTTTGTCCATAATACGGATTCCCGGACTAGGGCAAACGTATAATCTTTTGGCTGATGCAACTTTGAAGTTTTATCTAATAATACATGGGGGATATGAATTGTCCCATACATTGCCTTCTAACAAAAGGCAAGGTATGTTTTGTACACTGTTTGTACACATATATTGCTCTTTTTCTTTTGAACAATTTTTCAGGCCAACCGGTGATGGTTTTTCAAAGCCGATAGGTCCCACCGAACAGTGATGGTGTATTACGAAGCTGTTTAGATCATTTCTCTCGATTAGTGATGGTGTATTGCGAAGCTGATCGAGTCAATCCTCTCACTGATTAGTGATGGTGTATTGTGAAGCTGATCAGGACAATT